ACTACCACTACCACTACTACCACTACCACTACTACCACTACCACTACCACTACCACTACCACTACCACTACCACTACCACTACTACTACTACTACTACTACTACTGGCAAAGAGGTCCAGCTTTGGGTCGGAGTTTGGCATTTGGAAACCATATCAAACACGACTCCTGACATTCCATCCGATTCCCATCCTTGCGAACACGTCACTAGGGTCTCCGGTCACGGACCCACACCCACTGAGTTTGTGGCTCGAGACTTTCTGTGGTGCGGGGGCTACAGCCCGACTTATCCCTGTTCAAACAACATCCCTTCGCATCCCCGTACGAGAAAACTCTAGAGACGTATTTTTTTGAGCCTGGAGACCCTATGCATTTTATAGAAAGGCAAACGTATAGGTGTGATTTTTGAGATGTGGCTGCAAGACCTTGTCGTTTTATAGAAGTACGTGTCCATTTGTTTGGTCTGCCCAACCTCAGGGTTTATGAATTTCAATCCCGACAACGTGCTCTCTATAAAATGATTTCCACGGGTCGTGATGGAATTTATTGCTGCCTAGGTGGGCCTGGGCAGAACATTCTATAGAGGTCACTGCTCGGACAGTGATTTCGGATTTCATTTTTTCCAAAGAATCTCCCATTCTATATAGCACCATGCCTGTTATAGAGATTTTTCAGAGGCCCAGCGTTTTATATCTATAGAATCCCTTGTCCAAGCCCTCCTGGCGTATTTTAACAGGGATCCCTTCGCCCTTACATAACTCATATATGTACTAGAGCCGACACCCACTCAAACTCGAGTTCGGAACCTTTTTGGTGTTTCCGGATATCTTCGCCCGGGCTTTGGGGGCGGCAAACGTCATGGGTTGGAGCTCCAATCCTTTGGCCTTTTGGGGGATGTTTTTTGTTGAGCAAGTCGCAGGTGGCGGTGTTGTACTCGTTGCGTCAAGGCGCCTTTCTGCGAGGCCGACCAGCAAATGATGGGCTTCAGGGGGTTCCTGGATCATCTAATTTTGCATAGTTTGTTGGTGAATTTTGTTTATGCCGTATCTTTTTCTTTCTGGTTTGCTCAACATGGTTTTTTAGGCAATCTATAATTTGGGCAGATTTTTCTAGATCGCTGAGCAGCAAAATTCACAGGCAAATACAAGTCTGAAGAACCACACTTCTGGTGGAGTTGGGGGGAGGTGATGCGAATTGATGTGATGGTCAATGGTGGATCAAACTAGACTCAGACAGGTCACTATTTTGGTGGCGGTCCAAGAATCCTAGTCTCAGCCTCTTCCATACCATCCATGGCAGACCTGCCAGACCTCTCCGTTATGCCAGAGTGCCGAACACCCCGAACCTCAGCCGAACATCAAAGAGTTTCCACTTCGTGGAGCTCGCTCATTCGCCCCGTTCGTCCTGTTCGTCCCCACGTGCGGCGGTTCGCGTGCCTTCGTGCCAGGTGAGGGTGGAGTGCTAAGGGGTGCACCCTTAGTAGAACTGCTGCGCAGGGGCACCCGGTCGACCGGGATGAAAGAAAGGCGAAGACACGGATGAAATGATACAATGCTATACACGACGTGGCCAAGAATCATGGATGGCAACGGTCGACCCTTTGGGGATGGGAAGATGTGGATTGGTTCGTCCTGAAAAATCCAGAGTCTCTCAGAGGTCTGTAAAAAAACAAACTAGATTCATCTAGATTCCATAAATCTTAGTTGTCGAACTTCGGGGTGCAACTGACTTTTGGCTCGTGATCTTGGTGAACTTTATGGGGCAAAATCAGACACAGGCACCCACATCTGCCAGCTTCCACGAGTTAGATGGTAGATCCCACTGCATTTGTTTGATGATTGTTTGGAGGCTGACGGGTTTGGGTTTCCAGGTTTCTTTTTGGGCGACGACAAGCTGCATCTGGCTGTGTGTTCCCAAGTCGGCCTAGAGTGTTTGCATTGGATAAGTTTCGCAGGCAGAAGGGGGTTTTGGACTGAATGTGTGGATTGGCTCAGATATGCTCAGATCTCCGTCTCCAGATCATTGGATTGGACATACGCCGCACGTCATGCCTTCAGTGCAGGTTGGCTGGATTTCTTGGGCCGCTTCTTCCCAGGCCTCATCGATGTCTTGTGTCTCCAAATGGCTGGATGTCGCAGGGAGTGGCAAAGGACATGGAATGCTTTCAAAGGACTCATCTCGGACAAATGGAAAGGGGATGGCAGCTGCACCAGCTGTGGGTCAAAACCCTGGAGCCCCAAAATCCTTGTAGGTTGGCCTTGGTGCTCTTTGTGGTAGACTATTCCGTGCGACCAGAGTCCCCCGCTTTTGACCCACAGCCCACAGCCCAATCTTTGGTGGTTGATACCCTCAGCACACTGTGGTTCGAAAAGGATTTGTTGGACGACGACGAGAACGCGTTTTGCTTTAAGTTTCGGTTGGTTTGACGTGGCATTTTGTTGCACGGCCAAAAGAGGAGACATCTTGGGGGGCACAACACCTGCAGCTGTTGGTCATTTTTCGCGAGCCAAGCTTGCTCAGTCTGGCATGCAATAGCAATTATACCTCTGAACTGCAGTCACAGCATCCAGAGCCTCCAAATGCACGACCAACATCCGAGAGGATCTTCACAGATGTCGTGCACTCTAAGACTCTGAGACTCCCGAAGATCAAACAACCTGCGGCCGAATTCCATGAAAAGCAAAAGTACTAGGGCTGTGAAGCCGTCCTCACTGATCAACAATGATTTGTTCTCCATTTGCACGCGCCAGCTGGCAAGTGACACCCTCCTGGCCTACCCATTGTCATAGATTTCCTTGTCCAACCATTCAGCATTGGCCCGAACAAATAAGTTTGAACACATGCCCAGCGTATTTTGCAAGGGGTTTATTTCTGGTTAAGGGCGCTACCAAGAAAGACCACGGGATCCTGAAAAACGGGTGGCCACCATTCCGCGTCTCTGCATGGTTTGCGCCCATTTCTCCAGTTCCACGAAAACGGGTGGCCATCCGAATGAATGGCGCCCATTCTTTTGGGTCAGGTGGCGGGCGCGAGCACTTGCGTGCCTTGGCCGATCGCATCCACGAGGAGAGCGGTGTGTCTTGAGGTTGCGAACCGGAGCTGAGTGTCACGATCTGTCACGTTGTATATAGCCTTGAACAAGACTGACATGTGTTGAAGTGACCTTGCACTCTTGGTTTCGTCTGAAAAAGAACAGGTATATTGCCAGTGGCCATTGGGAGGTGTTCTGCGCAAATCTCTAATTTGAAGGAGATTCGGAATAGGTGAAGAGCTGAAGAAGTGGGTTGATGAACTGCCTGCAGTGTGTCTTGCCATGGGGCCCAAAGCTGGGTCCAATAGGAAATAGAACCAATTTTATATCATCGACATAATTGGACCGTTTCTGAAAGCAAGGCTTGTGGGGTCCAATGGTCGTTCCAAAAGTTCCATTTCGACGAACATGTGGTAGAGCCGCTCCTTCCCTTGGGTTTATCACAGGCTGTGGCATCAGCTGGAGACCAGCGACTTGGACTTGCAGAAGTCGTTTCCAGGGGAGGTCCGCTGGGGACCTTTTGAGTTTGCTGAAAAAACAGGGAATCTATTGGAAGATCTATTCTATGGGCATTCCCAAAGGATGTTGATGAACACCCAGAAGGCTTACTGCAGCGGCTGCCAGCGGCTCACTCTCTCGGGATGGACCGCACTGGGAGTTTCCGCTATTCGCGATGGCGCCGGGTGGGCATCCGGCACCTCGAGGCTCTTGGTGGAGACCTTCAATGAGATCATGAAGACAAGGGGTCTTGATCGAATCCCTCCCGAGGCGAGACCGGTCCCATGTCTCATGATGGGAACGCGACCTTCAGAGCTGAGACAGCTCTGTCACCGGAAAAAAAAGAGTTTTTGCATGAATTCATACCCAGCCTGGGGAGATATACATGTCCCACGTTTCCATTGAGCCTGTGGTGTAGTGGAGTTATGATATGGCAATCCTCTAGCTCTCGTATAGATAGAATCTGACGGTCCGTTGTCCGACCGTCTTATGGCCCGCTCGTACGTACTGTGGCACGCAACGCGTGACACGTTGGTCATACATGACCACGAACCCTCTGGATGTATGAGTTTTGTTAACATTCATGTTCCTTTTGCAGTATCTACATGAGGATGAATATAAAAATTAGGTTTCTGCTCTGGACAATGTTTCTCACAGAAATTGACCAGTTCTTTTCTAGGTTTATCCCTTGGAAATCGTTGGAACAATGATTTCCTTTTTCAGCTCTGTCAATGAATTTGCCATCGGTAAATTCTGTGGCTTGTAAGGCTGGCCTCAAGCCAGACGCCTTCTGGAGGCATTGCCACAGCAACTTGGCAACAAAAGCTTCGTTCAAAGGCCATGCAGCGCAAGGCCTTCTTGTTACTAGTAGTAAGGCCAGGAGCGCCGTTCGTAGCTTCTTGTTACTGTACTACTAGTAACTACTAGTAAGGCACTTGTTACTAGAAGCGATGCACTTGTTCCTAATAGCTTCTTGTTGTACATTGAAACACATTGACATTCCCTTCCTATTTTTCCTCTACGAATTGGGCATGTGTGTTTCTTGAGAGGCACTGGAGAGGAAGTCCCAGAGTTCGCTGCAGCAGCATGGATCAGACGATATGCAACTACAATCTTGAAAGACAAATGGCCGTGCGAAAGAACACATATCAAGTAGTAACAAGTGCCACGCTAGTAGTAACAGGTGCCTTACTAGTAGTAACAAGAAGCTAGTAGAAACACATCGCCTCATGACAGTCGATATCACCACACATCATAGCTAGGTTTTCAGGTGTCATTTTTTCCGAAACGACGTAGACAGCTAAGCATGGTCTTGTGGGGTACAACAACTGGTGTGAGATCTACCCAACCGGTGACATGTTGAATGAGGTTATGAATAAATAGATGCGACCGAGATCGATCGAGCATATTTAATTCGGCCCAAAAGGGAATGTGAAGAACGGGGAAGAAAGAACATATTTTTGAGGAATAGCATTAGCATGGATTAGCTGGGCCAATGCTGGCCACTTGCTCTTGCTGATGAGTCTAACACGTCTTCTCACCGTGCTTGGGGTGTTCTTCTCACGCGTGGGTGGCGTTCTTCGACCAAGTCCTGTGGACTTGGCGCAGATCTGGGATGCACAGACCTTGGTGTCGTTCTCCGTGTCGCAATTGGATGCCTTCGGAGCGATCTCCTCAGGCGACTGCCCCTACCTCTCGAGGGCCATTCGCTGCGGCTCTCGGGGTCCAAAGGCTCTCAGGGAGAGGAAGCGCTCGCTCGTGTGGCGCTTGATCGAAAGCTACTTGGCGGAAGAAGCTTTCCTGGCCCGGCGCCAGGCCGTCAGCATGATGCGGCATGTGTGGAGCAATTACGAGTTGAGGGCGTTTGGGAAAGATGAGTTGAGGCCCGTGTCTGGAACTGGTGCCAACAACTGGGGTGGCATTGGCCAAACTTTAGTGGACGCACTCGACACTCTTTGGCTTATGGACTTCAAAGAGGAGTTTCATCGAGCTGCCTTGTGGGTGGAGCAGTCCTTGAGTTTCTCGAAGATTCGGGGAGTGGTGATGATTTTTATGGTCCGATCCCTGATGTTTGTCAGTCTAAGAGAGCACAAGAGAGCTATTTTTGCTAATTTGTTGCCTTTTGGAGGGCAGGGGGGTGCTTGAAACTTGCAGTCTGCAATCTCACCTGAGGTTTCTCCAAGGATTTGAACGTGAATCTCTTTGAAACATCGATTCGGCATCTGGGGGGTCTTCTGTCAGCTTTCGCGCTCAGTGGACGGAGAGGCCTCCTGTCCAAGGCGAAGGATTTGGGGAACCGACTCATCAAGGCCTTTCCTGTCGATGCGAATGGACGTAAAGCAAATATCATGTCCGGTGCGAAGTCCATGGGGGTCGATGCCAAGTCCATTGGCGCGAAGTTTCAAAAACTCTTGAACCAAGCGGGACTTCCGAGTGAGGTAGTGGACTCTGTTCTTGGGAAGGGTGCACTTCTAAGTGAGCAGATGCAACCAAGCCTGCCATCCTCAGATATCAACTTGGGGAGTGGTGAGACCAAAAACCTCGCGGGATTTATCTCATTGGCCGAAGCCTATGTGCCAGTGGAATGGAAGTATTTGACTGCACTGACCTCTAACTGCACATATTCAGCTGCACAAGATCAAGTTCTTCACGCTATCAACCGCACCTTGAATTTGGAGGACCATGGCTTGGCCATGATCATGTTGACACCGTTGGGCCATGTGTTTCCTTCTCCACAAAATCGTGTCTCCCTCGGCAGTCGCGGTGACTCCTTTTACGAATATCTTCTAAAGGAAGCGGTCTTCGCCAAGAACCAGAGCTATTCCCTGGATCCCTTGCCGAAGAAGCTCTGGAGCTCCTTCCGCGCGAAGCTCCCCGAGCTCTTTGCCGAAGCACAGCGGGTGACGCGACCTCCAGGTCCTAGGTGGCCGCAGAAGACGGAGAACGCCTCCATCCATCGAGGTCATGGCGGCTCGTTGGGCGGATGGTTTGAATCCTGGAAGGATGCACCGTCCCCATGGCTTTTTTTGAAAGAAATCACTCCACAGCATACCGTGCCCAAGATGGACCACTTGATTTGTTTCCTTCCGGGAGCTATTGCTTTGCAAGTCTTCCATAGTGAAGAGAAAAGTCAGATGGATCTTCAGTTGGCTCATCGTTTGGTCCAGACCTGCGTTCACATGTATTGGCGCACGGTATCAGACTTGGCGCCAGAGATCACACGTTTTAATCTTCACGGACTGGTGGATGATGCTGGCTCGATGCACAACATCTTAAGACCCGAGACGATTGAAAGTCTCTTTTTGCTTTGGAGGACGACCAAGCGGCAGGTCTATCGGAACTGGGGACAGCGAATGTTGTGCGCCTTTTATCGGACCAAGACGCGTTTTGGATTTGCCAGCCTGGAGAACGTGAACGGGATGCCCACGCAGCGTCGAGACTCGATGCCATCTTTTTTCTTAGCGGAAACACTCAAGTATTTGTTCTTGTTGTTTTCAGAGGACAGTGTATTGCCCCTGGAAGACTTTGTTTTGAGCACTGAAGCTCATCCCATGCCAATCTTGGGACAAAATGGCCTTGGCTCTTGGCCTTGCAAAGGACCAAGGCCGAACAGCATGACGTCTGGAGCAGCTCGTTCGGAGCCAACGGCGAAAGCTCCCAGCACCGGGAACCTGTCGCCACCTGCGACGACTCCGCCCGTGAGCGAGTCGAAAAGGCTGTGTGACTCGAAGCGGCGCGAAGAGCTGCAGGAGCAAATTCGGGAAGCCGAGCGAAATCTTCAGAAGCTTCGGAGAGAGTATGGCACGTGCGTCTCTGACCCCGCTTGCTGGCAAAGTGGCTACACTTTTGAGAACTGCTGCTTTCCAGCGCCTCGCGGAAACATGCAATGCTGGGATGTGGAATTTACCTATGCGCGCTGCTGTAGGTAGGGAGCCGTGGGGAGAACCACATGGAGGTGTGAAACTCGGCCAGGTGTGGCAGGGCCGGCGTCAAGCATGTTGGCCTGGTGAGGGCCGGCGTCCACCTACTGATCGCTTTGCGATGCGAGTGATAAAAGGCACCAAAAGGCACAGCTTGATGGGTTGCATGAGATGACCGGTTGGAATGTGAGCTATCCTATCATCAATGGGTTGTGGGAGCAGTTGCTCGTGTAACTGATTTGACCAGGTTTTTGGACGCCATGGGCAGTGACCATGGCAAAGAAAACATTCTATTTGATTGATTCGTTTTGGCCCATGTTGTTCTGTCATGCTGAACCCAGTGTGAAGTGCACATTGCTAACTACAGGCTTCACCTGCGGCCTGTGGTCGCTCTTCCACATGCTTAGTGTGGCAGTGGCAGAGGAGGCGGGGAACTCTCAGTCAGAATGAACATTCCTGCTTGGGCTTGACGGTTCTTGAGGTGGCAGGTGTAGCCTTTGCTGTCTTTTTGTTGAATGCCTTTGCCCTGCAAATCACTTTGAGCGCATCGTCAGAAAGATTCGAGCCCCCTCGATGACATGGTCACGCACATGATCACCTGCGGGTAGTGGGTGGCTCCAACCGTACAGGAGAACAGACGCAAGCGACGTTGGGATGAAGTGACTCACGGTGTCCATGTCCGAGTGTTTCAAATGGATTCTTGAGTCCAGCTGGCATCCGTCTTTTTGGTGAGGTAGACATGTAGACTGACTGTATGAATGACTCCCCCAGTTGGATTGTAAAAGCTCTTCCATATGAGGGTTGACACACAATCTAACAGTCTTCATATGATGTTTTCATTGGAAGCATTCGGAACCATCTCCTTCAGAACTACACTGTACAAAAAATAAGCAGAATTGGCGTCGGAGTGGGGAGCTCAGGACTTCTTGTGGCGCTCGTGGACGCCCCGCATCAATGACTGACATGAGATGGACGTCTGTTTGCACAGAGTAACCGTCGCAGAGTTGGTGCCATCAGAAGCCGAAGATGGGATGGATGAAGTGGGGCACCTGGAACGAACCTGCAACCAATCTGATACGAACCTGCAGAACGAACTCGCCTCACGAGTTCGTGACGTTCCTGCCCTGCCAGGGTCCCAGTACCGAGATTGCTGGAGTCGCCGGCCAGGCCGTCGCATTTTGTGGGTGATAGAATGGTGAATGCAATAGCTGGAACGGATTGACTCAGCTCCGGAATCCCCCCCAAAAGGGCAACATCCTGGGACATCCTGGGACTGCGAACTTTTGGGCTATCTTGCGCGAACTTTTGGACATGTTCCCAAAACATCCCACAACACCATTTTTGTATGAATCTCCCAATTTTGCTGTTGGCTTGGATGAGTCGATGAGTGTGCCGCTGCACCACATTTGACACCACTTCTCAACGGATCCAACAAGATCCTCAAGAGATTTCTTCTCAGAAAGCTCCACCAAGATCCACAGAAGATTCTCAAAGACCCTCCTTCAAAAATCTCGACTCCGAATTCTCAAAGACTGGAGCCGCTCAACAAAGGACATGACGAGGGACAATGGAAGGGGACGTGGACGATATGAGCTCCAGACACAGATGGATGTGTAAGTCTCAATAGGGAGACCCTCAGTTTCTATGGGGTTGTTTATCTAGGTCAATACACGCCCCACATTGTGGTTCCTCATCCAAAATGATCTCTCCTGACACGGAGAAGAGTCAACTTCCATCCATGTTCAATCTTTGAGATCTGAGAGTTTCTTCATTACTGGGAAGCTTGGTGTGCTGGGAAAACAGTTGATATCAATTGATGAACATCATGAAAAACACCTATCAGCTGGGACGAACCCTCTCAGCCCAGCCATGGGTTTTCATGAGATGCCATTTTCGACCTGGAGACCATTGATGGCTTGAAATAAAATATATAAATGAACACACATATAATATATCATTTGAATATGGCCTGTCTTTCTATGGGTCGGTGGATGAAATTAGAAGGGATACTCCTGGGAGATCGAACAACCAATAGGCATATATGGTACCAAATCCATTGACCCCTCTTTCTTTTCCCCGTTCGGGGGGCACATCATTGACTCGGAGCATCTGGACAAAAAATTGGAAGTGTCATTCCACCCTTCTGGAGGAGCTGTTGGTACGCGTCCGTGGCTTCGTGGACCACTTCTTCGGCTGCAGCTACTGCCGGGAACACTTCCTGGAGGACAGAGAAAGCACAGTCGGACAATGTCGAATCTCGTTGGGTGCTTCAATCTGAAAGCCACACCTCAAGCTAAATGGGATTCAACAACGTTCGAAGCTTTTGGAGGGTTGTCGTTTTGTTAGAGGTCGCCGGAAAGGATGAGAGAAGGAAATCAAAGATAGCTTTCACCCCAGAGCCATCCCATGAGAGTCCAAAGCCAAATTTTACATATATGTATATATACTGGGGTTTCAATGTACTTGCTTACCCCGGATTCATGAAGGAGAGCATGTTCCTTGCAGGATTAAGAAGTCTGTAGTTTTTCAAGCTGAAAGTGATGTCCTGCGCGAGGGGAGAATCCATCCGTTTTCTGGATGACCTAGACTAGCTGATCCTCCAATCAGCAGCCCCCAAAGCCTTGTCACTTCAGTTGGCTGAACAGATCCAGCGGCCAGGCCTTTGACAGCTGTAAGTTGGGTTGCCCGGTGGTGGATGCTCTACGGAGACAGCCACGAGCATCTCGGAACATAGAGCTCGACATGAAACTAGAACCATCTATACTGCGGTATAGTGACTCTTTAACATATTCTAAACTATCACAAAACGATCTATATCCATCCATCGACACCGTTCTTCCACCCCACCAATGTTCACCACAGCGTTTCGCCAAGACGGCCGAGGCTGGACCGCTGTGTGGTGGAACCCGAGGACATCTCCGGTGCGGTCCTGTGGCTTTGGAAGGCGCTGCACCTCGCACCTCGCGGTCGGCAGTCGATGGCGCGCGAGTGGGGCGTGGTCAGACTTCGAGGGAAAAGCGGGCAGGGTCTGACGACTTGAAGTCTAACAGGAGCTTCTTGAAGGATGCCCACCCTCAAAGAATGCAGCTTCATCAGGTCGAAGGACCACGGACCATCACCGTTCGCCTTTTCTCGAAGCTAGCGAAACGTGAAACATGGAGAAGCTGGAGTTCTCTTCCCCATCGCCCAGACTCGCCCAAACTCGGATCCCCATGTGGCACCGTCGAACAGGGCAGGATCCACTCGCCCCTTATCTTTGTAACAGCATCTCCATTTCTGCATGTTTTAATGAAGGGGCCATTGGGCAATGAGTTCATGGAAGCAGGGCTTCCCCAAGCTTGGCGAAGTTGACTTCGGCGATGTTTTGCTGCAGCAATCTACAGATGTTCTCGCGAAATCAGGTACTCTTGTCAGAACAACTCTACAGTCATATAGTATACTATAGTATGTACTATAGTATCATATAGTCCCTCAGGGTTTGAGACACCTGTTACTTCCAAATCTCTTTTGAACCCATGGGGGAACACTCGGTTCCAGTCGCGCACGACTTCCCTCCAAACGGCGCTCAGATGCACAACGACGTGACCTTGCGAGTCGCCAAGGAAGATGGCCGCAGCATGGCAGCACATAGGTTTGGAATGGTTGTGATGGGTTTCAATGTTCAGTTTTGCTAATTGTGATAGGTTTATGTTGTTAATTAATTAGGTGCTTTTGAGGGTTTTACTTGTGCCCCAGTTTCCTAAAAAAGATACATGCACCAAAAAACATAGACTGGCAATACTCTCGCTTCTTTCAAACATGATGTTGCAAGTGGAAAGACAGAACTGTGCTACTGTCCGGTGGCATTTTTTGTGGACAATCTTTGCCTACATGGCGAGTTTGTTTGGGCAGAATAGAGACCAGTAGAAATCATGACCATCTACGACGCCCATTGATTCATGCAAGCCCTCGCGAGAGGCTCGGCCGCGCGAGGTAAGATCCCAGACCCATGGCCTCCCAGTGAGGACGCACCCTTTCGGGGTGGGGTGGATCGACATGAACTCGAACGCGAAAAAAAGGAACAAATTCGATTTGTGGTTATATGATTATACAAACTTGTTCTACTATATAGTTAGGTAAACTGAGCTCTACCACAGGTGTTCAGTCCCCTTAAATCTGCAGATCTCCCACCACCCATGCGCACATGAACCACCCACCCGTTTTCCTCCCCGCGCAGGGCGGGTCTTTGATCCGTCTGTGGTTCAGAAAGATTTGTGTGGAAGCAGGCAAGGTTAATTGTTTTAGCTACTAGTAGCTTCTTGCTAGTAATGCCCTTGTTACTACTAGCAATGCACTTGTTACTCGTAGCATTCTTGTACCTCTTTGACTGTTTTAGGACTCGGAATCCTGTTTCATGCTTCGCACGTTTTTTTCAACTTGAAGTCAGAAGTGGATCTCGGAGAGTCTGGGGAAGTGTTCCATGTCAAATTGACCGAATCGTTTGATATTGAATGAAAGTTGATCCTTTTGTGGGGTGATCCTTGGAATCCACCGGATCAGCAGATGGGAATGGAATTTGCCCCGGCAGGACTGCTTGGAGTGCTGGAACTGCCAAACTTGCTGGACCAAAGGATCCAGGCTGGTTCTGTTTGCATCGATTGGATTGACTTGTGGCAAAAGTGAAAGTTTGGTATAGTTTGGTTATATAATTGGAGAGTTTGGAAGCGAGAATGTTTTTGTTGTTTGAGACCGGCTGTTATGAAATGTTCTGAAGCTTCGTTGGGAGATGTTTGTGCTATGTGTCTTTCATGGCACGGTCTATAGGTCTAGCCCTGGTTTTCTGAAATCCATGTTGTCTCGAACGAAAGCCAACAAAAACCGGAGCATCTCCAGCACCGCAGGAGCGTGGAAGACTTCAACTCCGCCGCCGTGTTGACTCACCTCCGTGCGGCCGCCCGGTCGGTCGGTCGAAGGTTTTTGCGAAGTCAGATCACGTTAGTCGTCAGGGAGAGCAGTCGTCGAGTCGGAGAAAGCGATCAATCAATCATTCTTGTGAGACCTTCTTCACAGGTGTGTGCGTGTGTGCGCTTGCGCACGCGCATGCACGAATCTCTCTCTCTCTGTATTAAACAAGGTTGTCCTACTGTAGATATGTTTTTGTTTATGTGGTCATGTGAGTTCTATTTCTTTCCACGTCGTTTTTGGGCCACGAACATCAGCCTGTTTTGCTCTCGTCTAGAGTGTGAAGGCTGGAGAGTCTTCATTCGATTCAGATCAACAAAAACTCCCCAGGTGATGGGAGGAGTCTGTCAGATAGCGATTGTTCATTGACTAAACCATTTAAACCCCTCAAGTTACATCTCAAAACCGACCACAAGAGGTCGGTCGGTGTTCTTAGAACGGCAGGTGATCGGTGAATTGGTGATTTGCTGAAACAACTAGGTTTCTGAAGTAAATAGAACATGACTGATGACTGTTCAAGGAATAGAATCCATCTCCTTTTGCAACTTTCATAATGTTGCAAGGCTGCGTCAAGCAACTTCAGACCTTTAAAACCTGCGTCAAGCTTCTTCGTCGGCTCAATAGTTCCCCCACAAGCAGAAGCGGTTTGGTCAAAACAGCTCTGGTGGGCGCAGACGTGATGCGGCTTCCCTACAGTAACAGTTTGAGGCTTCCCAGGACCCCAAACCGCCAGTTAATCTGTGGCTTTTGGTTGATCAACTGATCAACAGCCTCAGCCCGCCATGTAAAACCATCATCAGGTCAAGAGTTTTGGAGTGATGAGCCGCGACCTTAGACGCGTGACGCAACAGGGTCGAGTGCGAAAACCAGTCCTGGCAAAAGAAACACATGAAACAACAATTTTCCCTCAAGAGGAGACGGCAAAAACAGCATCTTCCCCCAAGAGGAGACTGAGCAAACCCCCGGTCAGACGAGCTCAAGCACCCGGACCCAATTCACATGGTTTCATTATGTTTCATTAACATTCGACTCCCTGAAAGGCTTTGCCGGTTTTGCCAGCTGCTGAAAAGATGAATGCATAGAAACTTAATGCAGTGAGAGGCAAGATGCTATTTGGATCATCTAAATGTATGTTGGACACCACCCACGTAAATAAAAGCGGGCTCAGGTGGCACCAAAAGCGAATCTTGGCAGCAGAAATGTCCTTTTCATCTTCAAGCAGTCAAATGGCCAGGGCTTAGGTGACAGTGGGCTTAGGTGACGGTGGCGCCCGGAACATGTGGAGGAACCGCCAAAGAATACGGAACATGTTTAGACGGGTGAAACAAATAAATAGACCCAAACTGTTCAATATTGTTAATATTTTTTCTTTTGCCTATGTGATGGCTGACAACATACATATACACCCTGAGGCAGGTGAGAGACAAGGCACCAATCCTCAAGAAGCTGTCTCAGTGACAACTGGCGACTGAATAGGTTCATGTCATACTGTACATACTTGTGTCAGCAGCGACTTGTGGTGTATTGATACTATTCTCCATCTGACTCAACACACTTATGGCACCTTGTCGTGTGGGGGTCGGCAAAGTCAAAGCCAGAAGCCGGTGTATCAACTGTTTGGCTTTGACTCTTTGCCATAAAGGGGCAATACCAGGAACTGGGGATGCTCTTGATCATTTTTGATTTGCATCTCTCAGGACATTGGTTGTCAGGCCAGGAACCGAAGCTTCGTGACATGTCGCGATGCGTGAGCGGCAGTGGGAAAGCTTGGACACATGACACATGTAGAGCTTTCATGTATAGATCCCCTGCAGTTTCAACCTTTTCACAAAGAAGAAGAAGAAGATAGATGAGCACTCATTGGAGACAACGTTGTCTCCCTCGGACGAAATGGTGAAAAGGTGAAACTCTTTCAACCTCATCGAGTGTCTTCGTGTCGAGTGTCGTGCCCCCGAAACCAACCGCCTTCGGTCTCAGGCGACTGGACTGCACATGGTGCAGTTCCCTTGGCCCTGGTGTCAGCCTTCCTTTTGGCAGCGGCCCAAGTTACGCGTTGACGGCGGCGGCGGCTTTGGACGACGGAGACGGAGACGTTCAGCTGTGGCTTCCGTGGGTTCCGTGTGGAAGCTGCCCAAGACGGCTCCATTAAGTCAGATAGATTGGTCATTACTGAAAGACTAATTACGTGGAATGTGAATAATTTTGAATATTTTTGAGGGGTTCCAGTCAGATAGATTTGGACTTTATGATATTCGTCATGTCTCACACGTCTCTGGAGTTTTGTGGTTCCGCCCTTGGTCCAGGTGGTTCAGACACGTTCCAACAGAGTCAGATTGGCAGTGGTGTTTTCGGATGTGTCTTAAGATATGGATGTTTAGACGTTTAGGACTTTTGACCTCAGTTCTCACCATTCCACATATTAGGTGGGGGCACTTGTTTGTTTCCATCAACTGTATGATTATATTATATATATATGTATGTATCTATATATTATATATATACATGTGTATATATATATATATATATTATATATATATATACATGTATATATATATATGTATATATTACTATATATATTTGGGAAGGGTCGGAAGGGTCGTGCGCGTACCAAGGCTTTTGCAGCCTTCAAGCTGCTGAGTCGACATCTGGACGGACCGGACGATGGGCACCGCGGCAGGGACCGCCAAGTGCTGTCGGAGCCAGGTCAGGGCAGTGGATCAGGTCAGTGCTTGGTGTGGTCATGTCTGGGGAGATGTTGAGATCCCTTCTCACGGTGCGTATACAAACCGGTCCAGACCGGATGAGCTCTGACCTGACCTCCAGTCTGAGCCAAAGCCCCTAAAAACGGGGGGTGTTCCACCGCTGAGGCAAAGATGTGAAGGATAGCTGAAGGCCAAAGGTGCGCTGGGGAGCACCGAAGGTGGTGACCTATCTGGTCCAATGGGAGTCGAATTCAGACTGCTGAGAAGTCGAATTCATTTGGGTATATAGTATATATGATATTATATGATTATGTATATATACCTTGAAAGCCCAATGCCCAAAATTGTTTGGTCATTATAGGAAAAGCTGTAACATTCAGTTTTTGTCCAAATACTGTTTCTACCCGTAAGGACGACCCAAAAGGATGGCAGGCCTACCGGTTTCAAGATTTTATTGAAAAAGTAAAAGGCCGTAGCAAATCTCACACTGGCTTTCCAGGCCTCTATAGAGACAGAGACCCAGTGAGTGAACTTCCGTGCTCGTCCAAGTTTGTGAGGCGAAGCTTTCCCTTCTTCCTTTCTTAAACGGGACACACCACTCCAATAACTTGTGAAACAAAGCGATCGCCCCTCGCGCCGTGGCACCGGGCCCACCTTCGAGGCGGTTCCGCGGAAGAAGCCGCACGGGGCGGTGCGACCGTTGGAAAAAGCCGCACGTGCGCGCGACGGAGCAATCCCCATCCACTGGCATCACGGAGCTGATTTGAGAGCTCGACCCGGGAACGAGGTTGGGGGGGAACGAACGTAACGGTAGCCCTGGTGCCTTCCGTGAGTGGTTGGCGGCTTTCCAGAGTCACACTAGCCACCTCCGAAATGTCGTGTCAACCGCTGAAGGCGGTGAGGTGTAGTGTGAGCGCTTTAGGGGCGGTTTTCAAGATTTTGTCAGGGACAATTTCGAAAGGCCTTCTTGAGGGGCTGGAGTTTCACTGACAGTGTATTTTGATGGTTGGGTGCAAAGAGGCAGCATTCTTAGTTTGAAGGTGCCACGCAATTTGTTTGGATGCTTCTGAGAACTTACAAAGACAACTACACTACACAAGTGCACTGCGCTGCAATTTAAGCAGCACATGCCACTGCTTAGGAAGCTTTCCTGCATGTCCTTTCTTGAAAAACAATGTAGGTGAAGACATTGGGGGTTGCCGCACCGGACCCCTGTAACAGAGGTCGCATTTAGAGCGAAAGCCGCCAGGAGCGCTTTCCCGACGGTGTCCTTCCCTCGGGCTTACTCAGAAGTGATCAGCCACGAGCATATTCTACGCCAGGCGAGCTGGTGTTTGCCGACATGATTTGCGGAAAGCAATCCTATAGACTACAGATAGACACGATAATTAATCCTATATAAACAATTTACTGTGTAGGATCCTGTAGCATATATTATCCTACACTATACATTAGACTACAAAGTGGTTTCGAGTTTCAGGCTAGATTTGGATGGCACAACCCCTCTCGTCCAATGTGGGTTCCTTAAACCACAATAGTGGTCAAGTTGGGTCTGTGCCATCTACTGAGGTCAACAGTATAACTGTTGATTGAAGGCACCGCCTTAGCTACAGAACTGCTCCGGGGAGTTGGATACGCCTGTGTCTGGCGAGAATGACAGCTCTGGGGAAATCAGAACCTACCGGCCCAGATGTCTCAAAGGGGCCAGTTTTCAGTCATGTGGGTGTGAACACAGGTGAAAAAAACACCTTCAAACAACACAATGATCATACAAGATCCACCAAAAACGGTCTCTTCACCTTGCTGATCCTCTCCCGTTTCTTCACTCCACGGCTTTTTTCAGGCACTACATGTGGAGCGCCCACAGCGCCTGGAACGAACCGCGTTTCGCACCGTCCGCGCGCCCGACCCGGAGCGTCACCCCGACGCACCGACGCGTCACCCGCGGCACCGGGGTGTGCGCTCCACAGCGCGGTCGCCCACGCCAACGCCCAGGTGGGGAAGGGGGATGAGATGAGCAACGTTTAAAGCAACTGACAAGGTGGCTGATGTAGAATCCAAATGAGTTTCGATTCTTGTTGAAGTATAGAGGAACATGGAGTGCCGTGGACATGTTGAAATGAAGATTTTGAAAGGAATATGGAGGTTCTTTGGTTCGGAGGGCTATGGTGGATTTGTGGAAAACACACTGGTAACATCTGGGAACTCTTTGTTTGGGATTGTATCTTTGATTAATATGTTTGTCCTTGGATCGGGGGTCGCCACCTGGCAGACCTAGCATCCTCTTTTGCTCTTTCCTACTTTACCCTGGGCCTTGGAAACTTCTAGGATTCAAGGCCTTCAAGGGGTCTTCTAATCTGCAGATCGCACCTGGTCTTTTCTCATCGTTCGCACTTGACGCTTGACAGGCGGGTCACCGGAGCATCTCCCTTGCCGAGAGCTTGGTCTGCAGTCGGACGGCCCAGAGCATCAGAAGTGCCGGAGCTGCGACCAAAGGTCCCAGGGAAGGCAGAGGGATCACTTCACTATAGGTAAAGCAATGATTGGTAGTGCCGTGCGTGGACGGGTTCGATGGTCAGCTGGATGCAGGAAGGGCCAACCTGGCTCTTGACAAGGCTGAGACCCAGCTGCTCCTGAATGCTCCTTAGACTGAGAGATTAAAACACCTGACCTGTATAGTAGTGTAGTATGCAAATATGATCTATAATTATGTACGACATGCTTTCTCACACTGCGCTATGCAAGTTGCTGCAAACCTCCGTTGTGAACATGCAGCCCAAAATATGTGTGATCCTGCGATGAGTAGCATGTGCATGTTGGTCCCAAGAATGAGAGAACCCCAACAAAAACCCTCAATTCGATAATTCGCCTGTGTGAGAGATTGGTCTCTGGGGTCTCTCTTCGGGCTTCGGAGATTGGCTCGGTGGCTGCTGAAAACATGTCACTGCCCGAAACATGTCACGGCGAGGTGACTTGGAATAGCAGCAGCCCAAATCCCGCCTGGTCCTCAGTAGATAGCTCTACTGAAAGAGCACATGAGCAAACCAATAGAACTTAGTGGTTTCAGTGCCAGGAGAGGTCTTCTCTGTTTTGTTTAACTAGAGCTTATGACAAAACTTCTCTTCTGCTTGAAAACGAAGTGATTGACTTCTTCCCGTACAGGTATATAATTGATGTACAAAGCTTTGGGTTCTCCATGCAATCTGGAAGCAAGGCCTGAGAATTAGAGTATATATAGTTGTGTTTGTATGTGTGGATAGTTTGTATGGGATCAAAGCGAATGCTCCAGGCCATGGTAGCAAAATCATATTTTGGTTGGGTACTGTAATACCCCTTGCTACCAGTATCTCTTGCCAGGACATCCAATATATACTGTAGTTGTACCTTTTTGAGAGTCAAACAATTTTAGAATTGTCATGCAGCATGAACAATGGCAGTGACATGCAGCAAGAAGCGTCTGCCGCTACGCATGTGCCAGAAGTTGGCTCCGGGTACAGTCCGTCAAGGAATGGCCAAACATATCCAAACATGACTATAGAAAGTAGCATTTATTCCCAACATGGGCCATGTATTTCTTCAGCACGGGACCAGAAATCCGCTTGGCCACACGCCAGCATTGCCTGGCAGTGGCCATAGACTCATAAAAAGTCGAAATGGGACTCCGAAGTTGAAGCCGAGGTTCCCAAGGCCATTTGGTTGATACGGTCTCTATACCAGCAAAAGTTCCCCCGTTGCCCAGTTGGCCTTTTGTTCGAATGACCCCAAAGAAGTCACTGGACTGGGATAGGGTGTGTCTCAAATAGCCAGCCCGAACCCATGGCACGTCAAGGCTTTTGTTGAGCTGTATTTTTTTGTTTTCAGAAGGCTCGTGCCGGCGATGGATAGCCAGAACTAAATGCTAAGAACCGCTGTTCAGTGTTTTCACGTGGCTTCACCGAAGCTACACACCTCGCTCTCCGCATCTCTCCGCACTCCGCGTCTTCGCGAGAACCGCGTGTCTCACGACTCGTCGACCGGGGGGATTTCTGGGGAGATGCGGCGGGTCCACGTCACCGGGTCGTCGACTGAGACCTTGCTGACCTCCTCGCCCCAGAGAGACTTCGAGGAGAAGCGGAAGACCGACGTGTCGTCGTGCCTTAGCTCTACTCGTCGACCTGTGGAGACCTGCGAGGGAAGGTATGAGTCAAGCACCAATTCTCAGTGCCCACACGAATTTGGGTGCGTTGACACGAATTTGTGGAAGATTTTATGGTTTGAAGCAGTCTTTTTGTTGTTAGCTCTCATACCCCGGTGAATATCGAGCATCAGATACTGTTGATGGACTCATGGTGAACAAAACGGATGGAGGACATTTTGTATTGATTCTATCACGGGCCCCGGGGGCTTCACTGGACAAGTCCCCCACCACCGAAAGATCTTGAGCATGACCGTGCTTAATGCAACTTAAAACTGTTTGGTGCGTTCACAGGGGGCTATCCACTTTAGCAAGTTGACACAGAATATGAAAAGACAAGAGAACACGCAAATTGAAAGAACCAAGAACTTCCTGAAGGACCACTGGCTGAATGACTCCATCAAACTTGCTTATGACGACCCCAAGAAGTCGCTTGGCCCACCAGTGCGTGGCGATCGCTTGAAGATCCGCTTGAGCTCGGAACAACGTCCAAGGCAGCCGATGTTCCCACAGCTGCCGATGGCGGCCGTGGTGTCTGGGCATGGAGAAAGAAAAGACGAATGCGATGATGACAGTATACGGTTACCCCGTGAAGACTTTTTGGCTTATAGAAGTAATTTCATCTAAATCCGAGGAATATGGTTGGGTATATACGTTAAAGCTTTATGATTAAACGCCACCAGTTAAGACTCTTGAGCCAAGAGTCTTGAGAGAAAAGATTTTTGTTTGGGCTCTTTTTTCAGAACTATCCCTGAACAGTTGGACCACTGGTGGGTCACATGTCAAACCTTTCCAGGTTGACCACGACAAGCGCGGAAAGTGGCGACCATCGGCGACAGTCGGGATGTCGCGCCGCACCGTTTGGTACCCTTTTTTCAGGTCACAAATGGGGCTCAAGTACTCCATGACACTGGCATACACAGTATTACATAATAAATATATTAATATATATTATATGCCTGAAATTGACCACTGAAACCACCCCGAAGTAGGTAAATATGGCATATATGGATATACATGGAGGGTTTGGGCAGGGACAAAGACATGGTGATTTCGTGAGTTCTTTCGCTACCTATGGCGCACCCACTGAAATTCACGCTTTGAAGACTCATATTTCATGTCTTAACCAGCGATTTACGCTCGCTCAGGTGGTCGGGCGCCAGCCAGGCCCAGGCACGAATGAACAAGAAGAAAGTTTTGAAGTTTTCAAGTGTTTGGGTTTGTTATCGACGCTAGTTATGTTGCGAAACCCAACAATAAGAACAGAACACCGACCTCGGGTGAGCAACACTGATATAAACGGATCATTGACTTGCGGCTTGCGGGAGTTCTCAGAGACAACAATGCAATCAACAAACCCAAAAACAAGCAAACATGCAACATGGGTTTGGAAGATTCATGGCTTTCATACAGACCAACAGTGACCAACATACCAGTTTTCAGGGGTTCCTATGCTGTACTCAGACATACTCAGACTGTGGATGTGGTTCAGCACTAGAACCCTAAAAAAGTGAGTGATGGGCTGCATGAGCATTCCGGTTTGCAAGCGGCAAGCACCTCACCGACTTCTATCGTTTTTCGTGGGGGATGTGGTTTCCTGGGCGAGACTGGGAACTTTCATTTCACACCAACTGCCAGGCTATCCACAGCCCTGTCAGGTGACAAGACACATGCGAGCTGTGTATTTTTGTTCAGTTCAACAAGTCTGAGTAAAAGGCGCCTGTGACGCCAGAGTCGCCTATTGAGATGATGTCAAGACAAGTCTTCGCGTCCCAGGAGTGGAGAAGAGTCCCCAAATCCCTTTGGTCCAGACCATGCAGGTGTTCACTGACACTGTGCCCGTCTTTTTCAGCCGTCAGGTTTGAACTCAAAAGGCATTCGTGTACAACCTCAGCTTCAATCACTGTAAAACGATTCAGACAAAGATGACATAGTTTCTCCAGACCAAATAATACCGGTGCTTCGGTTGTTGAACCTGTACAGTATTCAACTATATAGCTTCCAAATTCAAATAGTTGATAAAAGGTCCAGGGCTCCTGAGGACTCCTGAAGCAGAAGAGAAGCTGGTGATGATATGTTTCATGGTTTCAAGTTTCAGAGATTTTGTTTTTCAAGAAATTACTTGGGATGATTGAATCCACTGACTAGTATATAATTCTTAGTTCGTGAGTTTAAACCACCAACCAGATGAGAATGGCATGTTCGGACTGAGCCAGCACCAGGGCCAACACAAGATACATGGCAGAACTTGCGGCTGTGGTACTGCAACTAGAATTCCAAGGCAACACCATGTATGCATCGAGCAGTGCAAAACGCCAAGCAAGCCAAACAATTATAGTGGTATAGCGCAGAATAGTGATTGTGTTTGTTTGTTTGCTTGTTTGTCTTTTGAACCTCAGTCAGCATCCAAATCGAGCTCCCTCGCTCCGTCACGGTTCGTCCCAAAGCGGGCGAGACCAAATGTGCTGCAGCATCATTGAATGCCTTTGTCCTTTGCTTTGTGCAGCATTTGCGAGATGGTTGGTAGTTTGCAGTCCGCTCTTCATCACCAAGATGCTTTTGATTTATTCTTCTGAAAAATGGCAGGCATGGAACCCACTAGAATTGCCAACAGAACTGGCATCTGAACTGGACTCTGAGTGGTTTGTCCTTTACCGACAGGATTTGGAGCTCTGTGTGAATTTCAATGAGCAGATTACCCTGAATTCTTGCATGTGGCCGGATTTGTGGCGTTTTGCCAATGGAAGTCTGGAACATCAAAACACTGGTCTTTGTCTCACTTATGATCGAAGCAACACAAATGATAGTTTATGCCATGCTATCACTTGGGAGAGTGACGAGCGGCTATGTGTTGTATTGACGCTTGCCGGCTGCCCTTGTGACCATCGACGGGACGTGAATTACCCTGACTGGGCCCAGAGATGGCACGCAGACAGTGGCCGGATCATTATGCAAGCATCGCTCAATGAAACAGATGTCAACACCACCTCCATGGTGGATGAAACCCAAAAGAAGCACTTATTCATGTGGATTTCTGGCAACTTAGCTTTACTGGTGCCCTTGTGATTATGTTGACCATTCCATACCATTCCCGATGCAATGAGTGGATAACCAGACCAGGAGTGGTGGCAATCATGTTTACTCAAGACTTGGCTGCTCAAAGTAAGTAGATGACTCTGGATCGGGTCTATCCTATTACCAGTAACAGTGGATTTTTTTTTCCGCTTTGCACCTTAGTGAGGCGGTTGTCGCCTCGAGACGAATGGTCAGTGACTACGTACCATCGGCCTCCATAGACAGAAATTCGATGACAATGGTCCGACCCACAGGAATGCCTAGAATGCCAAGCTGACCGACCAGCTAACGGCGTGAAGCCAAAACGTTGTCGCGAATCTGCTCAAATTCCAAATCTAATTCTCTGGGATGAATGACAGCCGGCTTGCCATCCCTTCTCCAAATTAAGTTGATGTGTCTCGCAGGAGGAGACTGCTGCCTAAGAAACTGATCTAACTCGACGGCGAGGTGATGACCCGAGCAAAGTCTCGGCCGCCCCTTGAAGGCGGGGAAACCACCTCTGACACCAAGCCAGGCAAGTTCATCAGTTCTACCAACTTTAGGTCGGTCATATTGAAATGGAAACATACCTTGGGAATGCAACCATTTGATGCACATACAAAAAATTCTGGATTGAGCCGCCAAAGTTTGGGGTCCTTTGGCGTCAGCATTTATCGAGATGTCCTGTAGCTGAAAGTTTGAAACTCCTCGCCAATCCCTCTTGTTCCCCGGCGCCATGTTGACTGGGGTAAGGGATCGGGTGGTCAAGGAAAAATCAAGGTACAATTCAGTGAAGGTGATTTTTGTATTGCAATTACAATGTTGGCCACACCACTGTAACTGTCTGGCCCACCACAACATTCGAAAGCAAAAGATGGGGTGGTATGGGCATCTAGCACACAATTCAAGATCAATATCAAAGGGCTTAAGAGTGGCATTTGTGCAGGGGATCCACTTCATCTGGGCTGTGGCCAGGACATCCTGTGGTTGTAACCTTCCCCTGGTTTGCGCTTCAATGGACTGGGTTTTCCGAAATGCATTGATGGAGTCCACCCATGTTGAGCCAATGAATTCATACACACGAACAAGGTCCGAACGCAGGGTTTCAACTTTGTCCGAGAGTTGCGTACGATGGTGGAGCAAACTGGGGAAGTCGATATGAAAAACATTTTTGGCTTGAAGGTCAACCTGTTCGTTGACATAAGCTCGGAATCTATGTGTACTATCAGAAATGGTCGACCAGTTTTGGTGGGCTTGCACCTTGGTGATGGTGATACCACAAAACTGTCTAGCTTCGAGATGTTTAAAAATATATTCCCAAATATGTTTGTATCCTGGCTGTATGGCTGGCATGTTGTGCATCTCAAGCATAAACAGGAGCTGCTCAACAGCAGTGTTACAATCAGAGAAGAGGTCGGCATGCCATGCATTATTCAGTGCAAGTAAAATCGCAAAAACTTCAGCAGTATACGAATTAGGCACAATGCCGTACACTCTTGAACGTGTAATTATCTGACAAGAAAGATCTGCAGGGAATCCTTGGACAACTGCTGCGCCAGCAATGGTCAGCAGGGGGTGATTATTGCAAAAGGCGGACCCATCCAAAAATAGCTGCGGCCTCTCATTTCCAACACAACCATCAAATGGAAGAACAAAAGGCAATTCTTTGTCAAGTTCAACCAAGAAATCTTGGATAGGCATCTGGATCAAGTCAGGTAAACCTAACTGTAACATATTCTGCCCCATGAGGCTAGCCCCGTCTTCAGTGATCTGAGCTTCACACCTCTGTTGATGCCAATTAGGGCAGTGATAAATGCGGTGAATGCGTGAATCTTCATGAGAGCAAAACGGACAGGTGCCAGAAATATCGGTGCGAAAGATCTTAAAGACATCCTGAGTCATCCTTTTGCCTGTGATGTAAGCCGAAATCTGAGCCTGATGTGAGGGGCTCATTTTATGAAACGCATAATTAATGGCATCAAAGTCGAACGGCATATCAGCAAAGTCCTTCCGATTGATAAATTCCGGGAGGCGAAGATTCCAAAAATACCGGCAAAGTACTTTCAAAAGCTTAGAAGAGATCAATTCCAAGTTTAAGAAGCCAAATGCTGTCTGCATACCGAAATGATTATTATGAATTAACGGCTGGCAATTTATTTTCCTTAGCGCTAAGATCAAGCTGGCGTACGGCCCGGTGGCTTTCTTCATGGAAGGGTGCAACTCCTGGAATGCCTGCCTGGCTGCAGCTTTTCGCAAAGGAAAAGTCAAAAAGTACCGTCTCAATGTCAGTATGCGGTTGGTGATGTCCTTGAATTCTGGATCTAATGCCTCAATGGCATTGCATGCCAAAAAAGGATTGGCCCCACCTTTGGACCTATTAATGGCTAAAGCTGTAGCTTGCCGAAGATGGTGGAAATCGTCCTTTGCCATAATTGAGACAGCTGCACCATAGTACTGTTTGGAATGGGCTGCCGCTGCCGTCATTTTTGGTCGAAAGGAATTCGGTATCTTAAGCTTAGCAATTTTCTTACATTTATCAATGGATTTATGGATCTTCAGTGCACCTGTAGGCTTACGGCGCTTTTGGGAATAATTTTGCTGGACTCCTAGATCCTTAGCAGCATCGCAGACAGGTATGTTGAGGGCGTTATGTTCTCCTTGAAGTATCAGTCGGTGAGACGGGTGATTCGCCCACAGCCAAGATTTAGGTCTCGATATCTGCATACGAATGGAACTGAGGAAATCTGCAAGTTGGTTGAGACCGCACAACAACTGGTCAGCATGTGCATGGACGAAGGACCAGTTGTCAGCGAAAAACAAACACTGTGCATGTGGAATTTTTCCCATCAGAATTTTCCATGCCCAAATGCTAATGGCTAACATTGCAGGCACTGCAAAGGAGCATCCTTCCACGATACCTGTTGTAGTATGGAAAAGTTCGCCTGCTGTGCCATCAATGATGAAGACTCTTTTCATGGCATCCATAGCAGCAAGAAAAGCGTATGTGATCTTAGGTTCAGCCCCCATGGCAATCAAACCTTCCACAAGCGGAACTCGTGGGACAGCATTATATGCTTTAATGAGGTCTAAGACAACGCCTGCAATCTTTTTATTTTCAACGAATGCATCTTCAATAAGATCAGCGTTGAGCAAAGCAATTAGTTCACTGGAGACTCCCATGGCTGGGCCTCCAATTTGCTTAGGCAGGTTATCAGTAAGGAATTGGCCTAATTGTTTGCCCCTAATCTTACTCCAGAGTCGGTACACTTTGGAGAGAATCGTGATAGGTCGCACATCAAGCGGAGAGGTGGGTGTATGACCTTTGGTTAAACAGAGGGTTTTGGCAATAACCCACTGTTTTGGCCAGCTTCTAACATCTTCAAAATAGTTGAGGAAATCCGCCAAGCATTGGATGAGTGCATCTGGCAGCTTGAGGAGGTCAGTAGTAGTGAACCCATCACCACCCCTCGCACTAGCTTTTTTGGTAGATTTGATGGCTTGACAAAGATCAATCTGAGAAATTTGGCAGTACTGCATTATGGAGTCTGTTTTAGCGGCATCAACAAATTTCTGCACAGCAGCAAATTCATCTTCGTACCGCTCATCCCTCTGGAAGAAGGAATTCCATTCTGAAGCTACCATCTGGTGCATCCTCTTATGATCCAATGTCCATGCATCCTGTTTGACAGTGAAATCCTGTGAGCGAAGCTTGACAGGCTTGTCAAGGACAATGGCATGGTCAAGGATCTGCACGATATTGGCATGTTGGCCCTGAAACTTAATCTGATCTAGTCGCAAATCTGGGGGAGAGTCACAGAGGATGTGTGTCTTCCCTATCTTAGGCCACGTCTGACGCGGGATTGAAAATTCTAATGGCTTATGGACAAACTGCATAGGCGGCAGGCTTTCGTCAGCAATAGCTTTAAAGGACTGTTTACCACCTTTCTGCAAGTCCAATAACTTATCAATATACCTAATTCGTCGATTTTCTCTAGCAAAATACGTCATGTTCGACGTATGCCATTCGAGGTAAACATTGGCAAGTGCGGAAGCATATTCCAAATCCGGACAACAGGTTGGGATGAACCCGGCACCACACTGAAAAATCCAATTTGCAAAACCGCCAGCGAACCCTTTTGCATTCAAAACGGCTCTCCACAGGACTTGTAACTGCTCGGCAGCTTTGTCAGAGTGATTCCTATGGCTACCTTTGATCTGGCGGACCAGGCTCTGCAACCGATGGGCTTGCTTAATGTGCCTACGATATTCAACAGTCGGCGATGCTGAAATGGACTGGAGGTCGCCCCACCTGGCTTGCTTAGGGACAGGGTGATCGACGTTATCCCTAACGAAGAGGGGCCTCTGGCAGCGCCCAAAGAAGTCTCTCTTGAGGCAAACAGGCTGTCCAGTTGAATCCGTAGCAGCCGATGCCAGGGTGTTTTCGGCAATTTGTGTCCATAGCACAGCAAGGGCGTCAACTTCTCCTTGTTGTTTGAGTGACTCAATTTTATGTTTGGCACCTTCAAGATGGCTGGATGCATAATCATGGGCAATGGATGGATCAGAGATGAAATCATCAAATGATTGGGGAAGCACCCATTTGTAGATAGGGATGTTGAACTCCGGAAGCTCTGTTTCCAGTGCCAAAACCGGGTGGGCACTAAACATGTTAAAATCAATGATTTTACAAGAGCAGAATCCATACATCCATTCCTTAGAACAAAGGATGAAACTATGTCTTGTAGCATCTTTGCATGTGTTTTCTGGCTCCACATTGTTCCTTTGAGCATGGAACATTGCAGCGTCAAACCATCCCAATGCTTGAAGTTTTGGCCACAGTGAAAGACACCCAAGGTCGGTGTTGAAATCCCCTGCGATGATAGCCGGCCCTTGAAAAGCTAAGGCCGCACGGGCAACATTTGAAAATAGGGCATCCGTTATGGCCTCAGGGGCATAGTATCGAGAATTCTTTGGTGGGCCATA